GCCCCCTGCGCCGGCCGAGGCGTAGCTGGCAAGCGGCAGAGACGGAGCAGGCCGACCACCAGCTGGCCCAGCTCAAGGGAGGTAAGGCACCCGCCGGAAAAGGGGGAAAAAAATGGCGGACAGCCTTGCTTGGCGACCCCCGTGAAATGGTCGATCGACCCCAAATGGGGTCGCGACCCATAGGTTGAGAACCGCTGCTCTAAATCAAAAACCGCATTTCAACATTGAAAAGCAAGGAATGCTTCAACGTTGTACTGATAGAATCTGACTGCAGACATCGGCAGAAAAAAAAATGCAGGACCAAACCTCACAATAGGATAAACATTACCTAAGTCTAGCCATTGTGGATAAATTGTGAACAGATCTCCCAACTACCCCCTTACAACAGAGAAGGGGAAACACTTTCTCCCATCAGGAAAGTCAGATTTTAGAGTTTTTGATCTCCAGAGTTTGCAAAGCGCTTGGCAATGCCAGCCCAAGAGAGCTGAGAGAGAATTGAGGGTAGATTTGAGTGTTTTCTCCCCCCACTTCTATCGAAGCGTGCTAAGCCTTAACCCTCCTATTTTACTGCTTACTTTTGAAGGAAAGGGAGAACAAGCTTGCTATCATAATTTGGTGAGACAATCAAAGCACGATTAATTGCAACCGGGGCAATTAATGTAGCCCATTGGGTAAGCCACACTTTACGTCAACCCTTGTAGGGAATTAAAAGGGCCAAGCTGGAATGCAAATCTAATTTTCATCATCAGCTTTGAAGGTTTGCATTACAGATCTAGTTTTAGATGGGCCACACAGTCCAAATATGCCAATGTTTCTTAGAAATTGCCACCATTTAGCAACAGGAATAGCATTCAGGCTTACACACCGCTCTGTAATGCTTTACAGCAATTTACGGTGTTAGCATGTTGCCCCCAACAATCTGGGTCTTTATTTTATTGACCACGGGAAGGATGGACGGTTACGTTAACCTTGAGCCTGTCAAAATCGAACTGTGGGCAGTGTTAGCCTGCAATACTGCATTCTAACCACTATGCCATCACGGCTCAATTATCTCTTTAACTGCATATTTAAGGGGGTTACAAATCTGTATCTCTTGTATATCAAGACAGGGGCACCATTTTCGATCTCAATGTCTACCAAGAATTTAGAGGCATACATTTAAATATTAGCAACATACAGGTTCTTTCTTTCAGCGCCAAGAAGTTCTAAATAAAACAAACAAAAAAATCAGTGAAAAGCTATCCATGTTCACTGGAGAATAATAGAAATGCAATTAGATGCAAATTTGTGAACTGCTGATTAAGAGACTATAGAATTTGTTCGGGCACATAATTTGCTATCAAGCACATAAGCATTCAACGTAGATCCTAAAAAAGCAGAAACTCCAGTTAAAGAACCAGTATGCCTCTGAGTGTCATATGCTGGAGAGAAAGATCGGTAAATTTTTAGAGACAGCTGGCTGATTTTTATGGGAAATAAAAATGTCGGACTAGAGGTGGCGGTTGGAGCGATCCAGCCGGCTTGTAACTTTACATTCTGTACCGCACAGCCAAATTTGGTAAGTTTTAGCGGTGATAAAATAGACTTTCTGGAGAGAAGCCAAACCCAAAATTTAAGAACCAAATTTTCCTAGAAAGCTGCCCAGGTTAGACTGAAAGCTGTTTCAGACAACTCCTTCCCAGAGAGAGCCCCATCAGAGATATTTAGGATCAAAACACTTTAACATCTAACTTTTAGAGGAACTGGAGCACTACGTATCTTCGGGATTCTTCATACATGCGTGCCTCTAAAAAGGAGCAGGTGCCTGTAGAAAATAGACAAGAGGTTGAAGGTAGCAAGAACGCCTAGGTGGCCAAACATGGAAGTCTTTCCAAGCGTCTTGTTTTTGTCTCTCCAGAAGCAGAAATTGCATGCTGAAGATGTCAGACCACATGAAAAAGTACGCAAGTTGAGTCAAAGCACCAAGATGGCACACCCATTGGGTTATGTCAATATACCGTTGGCCAGGTGGCTGTTGCCTCCATGTTGGATAATGTCACTTAAAGTGCGTTTCATTTTTTCGTAGCAGGCAAAATACAACGCGTGAGCCGGGCCGGCTCCGAGGACGGTGACGTTAATTCCTCGCAGCGGCCGCCAGATGCCTTCCGTGCGGACAATCTTCCTCAAGGCTTCAAAGACGCTTCGGTACTGGGCTTTGGGGTCAGGTTGCAAACTCTGCATCCGAGTCTACAAGAAGAAAAAAAAAGAGGGATGATGGAAAGGAGAAGAGTGAGGCTCTAGGGCTGCTTGGGGAGGGGGAGGGAGAGATACAACTTTGGGGGGGGAGGGGCATATCTAGACTTGGAACAGCCTCAATTCACAACAATTCATTCAGGGACCTAGACAAGACACCCAGTTTGTGTCTGGGTGTCTTATCCTTGGGGTGGACATGCTTCTGCCTTAGTGTATTCTTGGGTTTAAAGCAGGGGTCTTCAAACTTGGCCCTTTTATGACTTGTGGACTTCAACTCCCAGAATTCCTCAGCGAGTTGAAGTCCACAAGTCATAAAAGGGCCAAGTTTGAAGACCCCTGCTTTAAAGTGTACATGTACGCTGTGTTGATTGAAAACCCTCCTGAGTTTTTCAGATATTCCTGCAACGTATGGAAGGACAATGTTGCTACATTCGTCGTTCTCTTCTTCGTCTGTAATGGAGGAGCTCTTGCTGGGAATTTTTCTGGATTTGATGAAGGCCCATTTAGGATAACCACAAGTGCAAGAGGTATCCACAGACATCTAAAACGATTGGGGAAATAATCAAA